CACTTTGTTAACAGTTTATTTTTCAGTACACGTTTTTCAAAACACTTTAAAAATCATACAAACTCTGTTGAACATTCACATAATTAATGACATTAAGTACGTGTGAAAAGTTACTTAAGTATGTATCTTACAGCTGTACAATTTATTACTGGCAAATCAAACTTCATTAGTATTCATTGTGAATACACTAAGATACAAAAGTAATCCGAAATATTGTAGTAAGCTTCAATATACCGCCAAAAAAAAATTCTTCGTTAAGTGTTTGATTAGGTTGTTAACAAACATGGTACAGATCTTGCAAAAACATTGATATTAATAGTTATGGTCATAAGATAGCAAGCATTTAGTATAAATTATGAATTTATTGATAATGTATGAAATAACATTTTACAAAGTTTTCTAATGTCAAAATAAAGCATACGGTATATTGTTTTCCTATAGTAATGCTAGCTAGTGCTACCCTCTTTATGCATTTGAATACTTTTGGAAATAAGTAAAATATTTATGAATATTCATTTATCAATAAATGTCATAAATATTTTAATTTGAAAAATTAGTAATTAAATCATAGATATGTTTTAAAAAGTTTCACTAATTAATATAAATATAGAATATAGGCTAGGCTGGTACATCATAGTTAAGCCGGTTATAACTTCATGCAGTTTATAATATCTTCAAAGATTTAATATATAAAACAACATACACACTGAAGGGCTTCAGAGTGTTCAGAAAAATGTAAACTTAGGACCAACCTGTAATAACAGTAACTCCTATTTTCAAAGACACATCCACATATTCACAACAAATTCACTAAAAAGGCACAAATAAACGCACTAAATGTCGATAACACGTAGATTAATCGAGTTGCAGTCCGTACGATACTGCGGTCCGATTCAGACGCCACTCGACGCGAGAATGAGCTCATTTCAAAGCTTTGAAGAAATTAAATCGAAAGATGCATGTATCGAGTTATCGTGTAATTAACACTTCGCTTAATTGAAGAAGCCATTTAGTTTCAGTTTCATTAATTCTCAATTGACCGTTAAAGAAAAAAAATTCAGCGTGTCGCGTTACTTGCGTGTTTATTTTTTTTTAATTTTAGTAGGTTCTATATATTATATACTTTATAGCTTAACATCGACGTGGCTAGATTTCCGCCAGGTTATATTTAAAATAACAGTCTAGTTTGGGAAATACTTTTTTCGGTTTCCGAAGCGCTGTAACCTAGTTATGTATACCTATAACAAAAATATTTATGTACTATTGCTTACTTACATATTGCGAAGGCAAAAATGTCTACATATAAATAATATTGATGGGTTCTGGGGCTTTTCGTACCGTTAAGAAGGAGTTACGACCTACTTAAAGCAGTATTCTATAATTATTTAGGTATGTAAACATAAGGTACCTTTAACAGTATAAAACGATAAATTGTTACGTGTTATGCGTTAGAATTCAATTTTGCCGTAAGCTATTGCTACCTAAATAAAGAGAAACAGTTGTTAAATATAAGCGCTATGCTTAGCTTCTATTTATCTAAAGTCCTAACTACCTAATAGTATAATATATAATTACCCATATATAATAAACATAGTAATGTACATACAATGATACCAATTTCTATTACCGCGAAACCTTTCAGCTATATCCGGGTGATCGCAAATAGATTATTAGCTTTTTGTATTATTAAATGCAAAATAAACGCAGTGTGTTCACAATGGAAGGCTCATTGTACTCGTAACTGAACCAGAAATGATTTTTCTAGTTAGTATTGGGAAAATATTTATTCTAGTATCGCTTAGAAGATTTTTAACAAATAGATTAGACTACAATAGGTGGTAACAAAAGTAAAGGTAACAAATTATAAATATATAAATTATTATTAAAACGAATCTTATAAAATACAGTATTTACAAGGGCTATAAAAACCGATAGAGAGACAAACACATAATAAATAACATTAATATTATAGGAATAAAGTTTGTAACATACAAACTTTTTGTTTTATTAAGTACTCTTCGTAACTACTAAAGCGAGTATGAAGTTTCCTTTACCGGTAAAAATCTGCATTATTTTGGAATGATCTAGATTTTTGTGAATAATATTTAAATCGTTTTCGGGTGAACGACCTCACGCAGACAAAAGATATGTTTATCACATAGAATTATTGATTGTAACCCTTACCTAACAATAGGAATGAAACTTATTTAGTTAGGTAATAAACTATAATAACATATAGTTATTTATTTTCGTTTATACACGCGTTTTTTAAAGAGAAACACTTTATTATGTATAACAAAAGTTTTTAATTAATCACAATCTTAAAGCTAGATAGCTAGCTTAATATATTTTTTACAGTCCGCAAAAAATCTGTTATTTAAAATTTTAAAATACAGTGATTGATCGTTTCTTTTGTGTTAATTAAATTCAATCATTTCGTTGGAGTTAATACAAACTGCATTCAACATTTAATGATTTTAAAAGATTCCAATTGGTTTTGCATTATATGTTTTAAATGAATTTGGATCCGTTTTTCAAAGCTTTTGAATGCTTCTTAATTTAATTTCTAGTGTGCATTGTAATCTTTGCATTTGAGTGTATATTATTACATGCAAATAATGATGTATTTTATTATTTATTACATTTTAGGAAGATTTACAGTATTTTAACAAAAATTAAATTATGATTACAATAAAATATTTTTTTTATCAAAAATATAATATTGTTACAGTGATTTAATGACCATATTGAATAATATAAGGGCTTTTAAAAAAATCTGTGTGCTAATCTCATCCCTGAGGTCGTAGGTTCGATCACCGGCGGAGCACCAATGAACTTTCTGACTATACGTGGATTTAACACTCGTTCATACGGTGAAGAATAACATCGCGAGGAAATCGATATGTATTAGACCCGACAAGTCACGGCGTGTCTCAGGCACAGAAAGCTGATCACCTATTTGCCTATTAGAATAAAAACATATTACCACGAAACAGTTACAGAAATCCAAGGCCCAAACCTAAAATGCTTGTAGCGCCATTGGTATTTTTCTTTGTTAGTATCAATAGTTATTAAGACTAACTAGGCCTGATTCAAAATGAGAACGACTTCATCTTTTTTTTAAAGTTCTGTTGTTGTGTAAAAATGAGGCAGAGTAATATTTCGATCTCTGTTTCATGATAATTTTCATGTTGGTTAGTACAAGCCGAAACGTATGTTTTACCGAGTTTCGAACACTATTGTATAACTAATAGAAAGCCTTTGACCTCTTAACTATGGTTTACAAAACACGTCTCGTTCAACACATGCTTAAACAATACTTCCGATTGAGTTGAGTACAAAGGAATGTTACACCTATAAATTATTGATATTATGGCATTATAATTGTTTATAAATGTTCTTACATTTTTGTTTAAAACAATGTTGCTTTCTTAACGTCGATTGACAGTTTAGCTAACATCATAATTACCATTTAATTTGTGTTTACGGTAACTACAGAGTAAATATATTTCCCACAAATTTGTAGGATATCTTTCAACTTGAGACCACAGATTATACCAATACTATCTGACTTATTTTATGTGTTATAACAAAAATGTACCTAGTTATCGACCACAAGTTCAATAGCAAAAATGGTATTTATACAAAGGTTGAATAGCTTAACCTTTTACGTAATAGTATAGCAACGTTATTATTCAACGTCACTAAATGATTGTAAAAACACATTAGGTTCCGTAATTATAGAAAATTATCATTAGTCTCAAGTGGAAACCAATAAATCTTATCACCACTTTCTTACATGCCGGAAGCAACAGCGTTTTACTATTGGGTTTGTGGGCTACTTATCCCATAAATGTATCCACACTGTACACCTTCAATTAATTTCATGGAACTATATTCCTTATGCGTTTCACGTACGCGCTTAAATAGGATGCACCGAATGCAATCTGACGTCAGTACTTTTTTTGACAACAGTGTACATGGACGTCCATATGTGTACCTGAGTGATTTGTGACTTGATAGCTATTTCAAGCAAACAAAATATCCACGCTTTCATTTTTAATCGTAAAATAATAAACATTTGTCGGATATAATTTTATAAACAATGTTCCAGGACAAAAATGTTTCGATGAATAATTTTTATAATACCTTCCCGTCTTTTGAATATTTCTTAATATAATTATGTATACGTATAGTTGTAAGAAGTTACGTAATCCAGAATGTGGCAAACACATTTATATGCCTGTTTCAATTATTCAAGGGGGCTACACCTGCTCTTATGTGGATGTATAGGGATAGATATTTAATGTTTTAATAAATATCTATTTTATAAAGTTGGCCAGAATTAATTGTATTTAATTAATTTGTAATTCAATTTATAATACACATATAACATTGTATTATTAACCAACCAATAAGAAAAATGAAGTCGCTCCTGAAAAGTATTCAGACATTCCAATAGCAATTATAATAATTATTATTACTCCATAGAATCGTCGTTATGTGATAGATGATAATATTAAAATTATTTCCTGTAATTAACCTTATACTTGAACAGGATGTATCATTATTATTATAATTGCACAATATATGACCGCGCCCGATTCGATGAATTCTTAAAGATTTATTTAAAACTCCATTGCATAATAATATGAAACAGCAAAGTAAAAACGGATCGCAAACGCAAAACTTCAGGACACTTAAATATTGAGAAGACGCGGCCTTATTGCTAAGATGCTATCTCTCCCAGTCATCCTAGAGTTGGCATTAAATATTACTTATAATTAATGTTTGATAAACGGAAATACCGTTGTAGTTTATCACACTTATAAAAGATCAGAAGCTAAAACTCGTTGAAAATCCTTTAAGTATACCTCGTGTCAATCTTATTTGCTAATACGGCTTAAGCCCAAATTTGATTATTAATATCTTAGCATAAGTATGCATTGCAATAATTTAACATCTTAAATACGGGGAAATAAAAATATGAAAATACTCACCATTTGTTGTGGGCTCCGTGGTTTCCTATGGGCTCGTGGTACCTTCTGTCCAGTGACACCCTCTAAGACGTCAGCTAGTAGCAACCCGTCGGCGCAGTCCCGGGCTAACCCGCCGCCGGATGTACCCACGCGCTTTCGGGACCGCGCCCTCTCCAGGTAATGATTCGCCCAATCCGTGTATATCTATGAATAAAAATGTACTATTAATAAAAAGCCCATTTTATTTTGAAATCTTATTAATCGTAGCTGTTTCATAATACCTCCCGGTTTTTGGATATTTCTTTCTTTAATAGAGTAGAGTAGAGTAACGGTAAGTATTTCATTGTATTTTTTCTATAATTATGCAATAAAGTATTAATAAATAAAGGTCTTATCAATAAATATTCAATATAATAATAATAATAGGTAATTGGCTAGTTATGTTTATAGTAGGTTTGCGCTAGTTATGTAAAATGCCTGTAAACTTACTCCCTTGTTCCCAAGTGCACTAAAAGCCTGAAATACATATTAAATAATTTGTCTTTATCACTTTGACAGTTTGTTAAACTTACATTCATATCAACATACTCCTTACCTGAGGCTTATAGACTTTAGTTTTTAAGTATCGAATACAAACAATGTTTATTATATTTAAATAAAAGCCGTATTCGATTAAAGCATGTAACGTAGGTTTTTTGAAAACGGAACACGTTTAAACTCTTCGCTTCTAAATTTGAAAATCGATTTCTAAGATACGAATATGCATGTTTAGATCCTGGTGTTATATCTGATTTAAAGATATTGGGTAGCCTTTGTTAAGGGGATTATGAGTCAGAATAAGCTGCTAAGGGTGCACTAAAATTTTAGTACCAAGCGTCTGTTGACGCACGCAGAACGCAGGCGATAAGATTTTAATATACTGAAAACTGCAACTTTAACTTCTATACATGAATGAACAAAAGAATGACGATGTTTCTTTCTGCTGTACATTTTTGTTTTTAGTTTTTACATAGTTCATGGATACGATACGATTATCTAGAAACAACAAACATTCATCAACAATCATAAATATGTATTACAATTTAAGTATTTTCATAACAACCTGTGGATATAATAGCCTTATCGGTTGGCCGGTGCGCTATGTTGTACTATGCAAGAATTGAACTAAGGTCGTCCGAATAAACTAACGCCATTGCACGGGTCAACACAAACATTGGTTTGTATTTAGTAGACCGAATAAATGATAATTTTCAATATTTGAGGTTGTAATTTTTAATTAAAGATAAAACCATTAAAATTAATATATTTTTTTACTGATCATTGTTTATCACTTGAGTTCCACCTAGCGGCACTATGTGTGTATTATATAATTAATTAAGAGTTTCAAAACTTTATACAAAAATGGTATTTTCTTTTCGATTTTGTGCATAATTACCTGTTTTTTTGTGAGTCGTATTATAAGCGAGAGCAGATGGTAGGTATTAGTTACTAATTAAATTATACACATTTTTAAGTTGAATTCTATGCAGATTTTGTAAAATCTTTCGAAAACGAAAAAGTATTTTTATCTGACACGTTTAAATTGAAACAGCTCACTATGTAGCAACCATTGTTTGGTTATGAATCACGCAAGACATAAAGTAAGATCATTACTGTCAATAATGTACTTATGGGCTTAGTTAGAAGCATGTGTATAGATGCATATTTGATGGAATGGATATTACGTCATGATTTATTTCACCGGTTGGCCGAAAAATGAATAAATAAAAATCTTTTCCCAATATCCCTAACCTAAACTTTTGAGTCGCGAAAAAGAATTTATATTTCTTATTATGTTAACAACTTAGGTATTTACGAGCTGATTCTAATATTTAGATAAATGGTGTTTAAGGTTCCTAAAATCGAGCGTAGCTAAAATATTCTTTTTAGTTTGCCTGTGCATATATAGAACAAGGTGAAGTATTTCTGAACCGACTGTCCTTCAAAAAAAGAGCGTATCAATTCTAAAAAGGCCGGCATCGCACTCGCGAGCACTAGCATTGATAGTGATGGTATCACTTAACATCTGATGAGCCCGTTTTCCTCCTGTTATATATAAGTTCTGTATAGTAAATAGACAATTGTATTTCAAGTGATTTAAAGCGATTTCAGTGACTCTGTTTTAATAGTGCTGTAAAAAAACATTCAGAAGAAGTCACGATCACCATCTTGTCGCACATAAACGTATGATTTGTGTATTCAAACGTGTGAAGTCATTCCATATATGTAGTAAAGTGTGTCCTTAAAAGGATTAAGTCATATTTGCGTCAATTTGCAGGGAATGAGGGCAAGTGGTGGAGTCGCGACAATAAGTCGCCGGTCATGGCTTGAAAAGGTTATAACTCTTCTCTCCTTTGCTTTTAAAGATTAAGGCGAATTTTAGTTTTATGTCTGAACTGTGAATATAATCTTCTTTTTCCCAGTTTTAACTTTTTAGATTATTAATAGCAATAATCAAAAGTAAACATTCATACAAAATGTATATGATATATTCCTCAGCGATGAGCGACACACTTAAATGTTTACGCGCTTTTCGGTACTGACTTTCTGTCTAAGAGGAAATCATTGGTATGTGTAATCCAGAAATTATTATGATTTGTGCCCAAAATTATATCATTTATTAAGGTACTTTTACCTAAAAAATATATGAATTATCAGTATTGTTATTCCTATGTAATTATAAGAATTAGAAAGTTGAAATAGATGGTTTCTAGTCAATTATTGAAATAAAATATGGGAAATCGACAACGCTCTCTCTAAACCATTTTAAACCGATTTAATTGTGATTCCTTTACAGCCTTCATTGCTGCAATCTGTGAGTGCCATCTGATATGTTAGAGGTATAAATTCTCGCTTAATGTTTGTTTAACCTTAGTAAAAGTTACAGTAATTAAATAAATATCAAGTAAGTAATAAAACATCTATGTCTCCTGGTAGCTTTTCTGTCTTGAGTTGTAAACAAAATAACGTGTGGCTAGTTAATAAGGTGACTAAGGAAAAGAGCCTCTATTGCAAGAACTAATGTCTCAACTCATATCGCTTTATTGCGAAAGGCTTTCTCACAGCTGTGCGCTGAGCAATAATAACAGGGGCAAAGAAACCTTACTGATAATAAGACAAATGGATATAGCAATTTCTTTACTTTTGTACATCTAGACTTCATGGTTTAATTGATCGATGCGTATAATCCGGAGAACCTGGGTTGGTGAAAGACCGAGATGGGTGATTTATAACGATAATATATAATTTTGCATGTGGAAAAAAAACATCTACGGAACATATGTAGAAATATATTTGTGTACACCACGCCCTGCTTTAGCAATATATATATTTTAAATTATATTGATGATTTGGGTAGGTAACAAATGTTTACGAAATATATAATTAGACAAACAGAAAAGACTGTAATTAAACCGTAAGAGGAAAATTTCACTATCTTCGTATACTATTGTAGAGTAAGAAACTGTGTTCTAGTTGCCCAAACAAGTATAAGTTCTACCACATATTATAGAATGTGAATTGCTAGACAAATATAAAATTCGAAAATTGTACTTAGACTAACGAACCCGAGCGGAGCTTATAAAAACAATGTTCTTGCCACTGCTCAAAGGGTTTCAATCTGGCGAGTTATTTACTAAGCAAATAATTTCTCTTGCTATATTATACGTTAATTCGGTAGCGGTTACCCCGTAAAATAAACAACTCGAGCGGTACAGCCGTCCCCTGGGTGCAATGTGTGCTGAAGTCTCTACAATTATTTATACTTTCCGCTGAATTAATTTTTTAAATAATTTGCCTGCATGCCCTGCCGTTCAAAAGTTGAATTTATGAATGTCTCACTCATCATTGAATACTTGAATATAAATAGTGTAACTGTTAGCTGTCTTATTTAGTATATTATGTAAGTCAAATAAGAAAGCTTATAATAATATCAATTTGTTAATAAAGAAGACTAATTCCATTAAGATTCAATAAATTTTTGACAGCATAAATAATATAAAAATCTAGTCTATCCAATTTATAATAACTGGAACGAACAACGGAAATAAATACTAATTTATAAAAGCGAACAATTGGGTCAGTCTAGAATCAAGATTATAAATGACTTCACAGTCATTTCCATGTCTTTGACCCCAGCGATCGGCGAGATTTAACAATGTCTATCCTTAAAATTAATATTTAAATTACTTTGTCATATTTTAACATGTTTTTTTTGCTACTTCGATTAAAATCATTAAGAGAAAAGTGATGAAGAAGCCCCTATTAGTAGTGATTTTTTTATCCATATCACACGTTACCTACATATTTTAGAAAAAGCAGTTTTTTTGACGACATCTTTATACCTACAGTAATTTGACAATACTTCGACATTTGAATCTGGCTTGATTATGAAACACGGACCAACTAAATAATACGAATGTATATTACGTGTATTTTATTTATTTACACTTCGTTGCAATAAAAATAAAAGAAACACAAATAACACAATACATAAAAATTATAAGAGATGCAACGGACGGCCTTATCGCTAATAAGCGATCTCTTCCAGGCAACCCTAGTTAAAGAGAAAAACTAAAAAAAAGAAACATGATAAGTGCGTGGTTTTTGAAATGGACTGGTAAAAAATATTATAAGAAAAAACTTTAAGTAATTCCTCACATAGATTAAACCGCTGGCCTCGGCTGCTAATGCAGTTTTTCGCGTATACTCAAATTTTGACTGATTAAAGGCTGCCTCACTTTGTGTCTTCTAAGTCAAAATTCTTCTAAATCAAGTAATCAATAAAATAGACGCGGTAGTGTGTTTGTTATGATGGGGTAACAAACACATTACGACTCTTCACATAAAATCTGTTGAAAAAGTAATGAGCTCTTACATTTTATTATTTATTTATTTATTGTATGTAAACAGTGAAAAGGACTAAAATAAAATAGGCCAAATGAAAAAGAAAAAATGCACATCATGACGATAATTTTATATCAGTTAGTATGAAAGTAAGGGATACGAGGTGGATAGGTAATGCTTGTACAGTAGAGATTTAATAGATAGAGAAGAAGCTAAGCGGACAGGGACGGTGAATTCCATAGCCTGAGAGCAACGATCTTTAAGGATTCGCCAGGAAAAGAAAAGTTATGTTATCGGAAAAGGGTAGGCTATAGCTATGGGCTCCTTAAAATTTGTAATCGTTTTAGGATTGAACAGGATGGAATAGAAGAGATGGAGAACGTGAGCATCGCGTTGCTGACGAATGGGTAACCAGCGTAGCCGCTTATGGAGCGCAGAGATGTGGGATATTTTAAAGACGATATTATACAGAATATATAGATTGGAAAGGCAAAAGTTTGTACGTGACCAGCTTCGTGGCATCCTCTCCTACAATATTTCAAACATACGAAAAATAAATATGTTTTTTGTTACACACAGCATACTTTGTGGTTACGTTGATCGCGTAACCCCTTATTTTTCTATTCCCTGGTTAATGAAATAGCGTAATTCAAATCCTCGATAGTAACAAATCTATTTTGAAACTATAATGTAACACCATTTGTCCCGTAGTCGTAAATTACACGTCATTTACAAGAACGGGGAAGGATAAAGATCATTTGCTTAACTGATGTTACGCCTCTGCGTCATGTTGATTCATGATATATCATTTTAATACCAAATTCAATTCGCACAATCATTATTAGTGGTTAAAAATTTACGTTAATTAAGAATTTTTCATAAACCTTTATTTCTCTTATACGGATCTTCTTAATATATAAAACAATGTTAATTATTATTCGAACATTTATAGCTCAACCTCTATTTACATGTTTATCTGTAGTAACAATAATAATCAAAAACAATTGGAAAATTGACGAAAAAATAAAAGATATAAAAAATGTTCAGGTTTCGTAACTGTCAAAACCTTTAATGTTCATCCCGTCGACACGTAATAACGTATTAAAATAAAGAATTGGAATCGACAATCTGTATCCACAATATTCGGATAATGGCATATTTTAAAGTCAGTAATAAAAAAGGATTTACATGAAATGTTTATGTGTGCGTTCAGAAATTGATTTTTTACTAAGGAAAATATCTTACTAAACTACTTAAATAAATGACAATGACTTTATTACAAAAAAAAACGTCAAATCATCTCACTGAGTCAATCCAGAATATTCTGTTAGTCCAGTCAGAGTCAGTGTATTATATAAATATTTACGTCGTTTCATAAAATTAGGTGCGGCAAATTTGTAATATGACATTAATTCACTATTAGGCGGTATGAAGTTCGCCGGGTCAGCTAGTAATTAATAAAAGTTGAAGGAAAAAGACCGGGCGGCATTAGATATATAAATAAAGCCCGGATTATAGGGACCAATCACGTTACTGAGTAAATACAAATTATGCAATATCATAACATTCATTAATACGGTACACGACCTGACCTCATTTAAGCATCGTAAAAAGTTATATCCCTGTTCTGCGTAAAGTTAAACGTAAACAACGCACCTACTCGACTGGGAATAATTTTGGCGAAGTTCCAACGTAGTAGCAACACAACGTGTAAATAATTTATTGCAACCAATATCGTCTTTAAATAGTGGGTCAAACTGGCATTTCAATGCTCGGAGGTCCCATATAAGCTACGGGACACAAAAAAATGTGGGAAGGCTTAAAAGGATGACGTGTCAGTTGAAAGTATTAGAATTTCGTCGTATTTAAAGGAAATGAAATGCCTACACTAACATAAATTGATCTAAAGCCTTGACACTCAACGAAATATTTACAAATAAAATAATACACTACAACCTTTCCTTGATCTATAGTCGATAATTATTACTTGTTGGAAACCCTTCAGTTCTAATTTCAAAATATCAGTTATACATCTTCGAATTCATAATAAGAACTCATTTATATATTCTTTAGATATAGTACGTTACATACAGATCATGTATTGACCGATCCGCCAAAAAACTGAAGCCGGTTCCGATGTTAGAAAAATATTTATTGTTAACATTGATCAATATATGTCCTGGCGGAACAATCTTTTGAATGGCTATTCAACAACAAAGGCCCTCCAGAGATCTTTTGTAAGTAACAAGTAGGGCACTTCCTCGGTAATATAATATGCAAATAATGTCTGGAAATTGAGTGGAGTATATTATTCGTTTGTTCATTTATATATAGTAACTAATGTTATTTAGAAACATTCTTTATTGAGGAAATGTAATTACTGGTTGTATCGGGGTTACTGATACTATATAATTACAGAAATAACAATATCAAGGTAACTTATGAAACTCTTTAAGTTAAACAACATCAGACCTATAATTTTGGCTAATTATAGTTAAAACCGATTGACACGCGTCAATCACAATTTTTAAGTTTAATTTTCCCGTTGCTATATAGCTCGCCAAACATCAGGCCACTTTTATAATTTTAAGTTAATACAAATTACAAGCATTTTTATACACGATCATCACCTACAGCCCAGCCTTGCGATTCTATAACTCACTTTTCGAACAAACAATAAACTACACGCTCCCACCTTTTCAGAATGCCAAATCATAAAATGACTGCTTACGACTGATTTGAGAGCGACCGCCGATGCGAAAACCGCTGTGTGAGTTCGAAAAGTGAGTTACAGAATCGCAGCGCAGGCCCTTAGCCTGGTGGAGCAATAACCTCCAGGCGGTCTTGTTCAGTGATCTCAATGGTTTAGAGTACCTGTTCAAGTCCTTAATATGTCTTACTTGCGTAATAAAACCACAGTATTTGACTTAAATGAAATAACAGTGAGTTTTAATCGATTATATGAGTCGTCATAGATACAAGACAGGCCAATTATAAAATGGTAACATAGATCCCATAAAGTTTTAAGCCTTTTATTTATATAAATACAACTTACATTACAATTAAATATAATTTTAAATATATACCTGGACAATAGACCGGGTCTGCCTGGTGACATCATCAGTAGAACCCTGGATAGATCTGGGTGCACGAATACACGTTGGTATCATTTTCACTATAATACACTTATTTCGTGAGCATTTTCAATGACTAATTTTCATACATTCTGAGCAATATGTTTATATTAATTTTATAATACAGGTTATGCTAAATAATGATATTTTAAAACTTACGAATGTGAGTAAATTGTTGAAGTAATCTATTAATAATTGCAAAAAATATAGACAATACTTTTAATATGTTCACTACTCATCGTAGACAATTATTGTGGATTAGGCGTGTCTAGAGTCGGAAAAACAAGCTAGACGTTAAATTATAAAGAGCACACAAATCAATACACTTTAAAGCACAACTAGAAAAAATCTTGGCGAGGTTTTCCCGTGATTTTCTTTCCCATTGAAACTTTTTCCACTTCAACATGACCTCTAAAGTTGGATTTTCCTCAAAGCAAAAAGTACTAGAAATGTACATTCATACCGTGCGTCACGGTCCATGAATGAATGGCTGCGTCTGTAGTGCGATAAACTTTTCTGGGAATATTTACTCTCGTAGCGCTCTGGCCACGTCACAACACGATGTGGAGCAAACGAAGCATATACAGGTTGGTGTTTTTGTATGGAATGTGCCTTGAATATATCAATATTTAGGATTTTTATTTCTCATACATACTTCATTACATGAGAAAACGTATCATAAGTACTTCAGTTCAATCTTATGCAAATAAGTTAAAAATATTATTCGTTTGAAAAGTTTTAAAAGAAAAACACTTGTTCAATTACGATATTCTTAGATCTACTGGGGTTAAGGTGTAACTGTGATATTACTGTCGGAATAAATATATATTTAAGATATCAACCTCATAACTATAAACGGTTGAAGTTATCGAACCCAAGTTTTATTTATATAAAAATATTTTATCATATGGTTTCACAATTGAGAATGGCTATTAATATTTTTTTTAAAGTATCTTGTTGCCAACAACTTTTAAGTTATTTAACAAAACTTATTTAAGTAAGAGACATAATATAATCTCAATGTGTAAGGTGTATAATATATGCTGCTATATTTTCAGTGCAGCATTTCTTTGAATAAAACTGGCTGACACTTACCAACACACCTTTTGTTACACTTGACTTACGAGACCACAGCAAATGTAAGATAATTTAAAGATATGCTGTTTCTCTCAAGGGCTAAAACGCAATTCCTCGTTCAAGAAATAAAAACATTATACAATCAAAAATAGTTTATAATGTTGTTTGTAAATTGTAATATGCACAAATTGTTCTACTGCCGCGGCTCAGTGATTAATGGACATAGCGTATAAAACGGAAATGCAGGTATCCATTTCCGTCAAAACTTTAAATGTTTGAAAATAGAACTTGAATTTTAAAATATAATAAAGATGTAGAATTAAAGAAAAACTTTTTATCTGGATTGAAGTTATGTATTATTATAAATTTACACCACCCACCACCACCCTTCACAACTGCTTTCTGTCGGTAAATGTTTGTTTCAGAGAGCCCAACGTCTTTTGTGATGATGCCCACCTCGAGGAGGAACTAAAGCATGTCAAACAGGTGGTACACCGAAACAAGCTGCGCATCCCCTGGCTGCATGACAAAAACAAAAACAAGACACAAACAGTTCCCCGCCAGCCAGCCTACCTACCATATGTAAAGGGAGTTACAGATAGAATTAGCCGGATCCTAAAACGAGCTTCTATTCATACAATTTTCAAGCCGCACAAGAAGATTCAGCAATTCCTAAGACCAATCAAAAGTAACACCCCGTTGCAAGATGCAGGTATATACAAACTGGATTGCGACTGTGGCCTGCATTACATAGGGCAAACTAAACGCAATATGTCCAGCAGACTCAAAGAACTGACGAAAAGAATAGACGACACACAAAATCAGCAGTCTGTGAACACATACTAGATAGGCCTAATCACTACATACGCTTTGACCAACCGAAAGTACTTGCGAAAGAAAAAGATTCTTGATTGGTACGCGAAGCCATTGAAATCAAAAAACACCCCAATTTCAATAGAGAAGACGGCCTTAAATTGTCAAACACCTGGGATCCAATAATATCCAAATTGAAATCTCAAGAAAAATCCGCGAAAATAGAGGACACCGTGAGCCATTTTTGCCAAAACCCTCCATCTTAGTCGATACCAACTCCGGGGAAATAAATACAAATAATGCAACTTTCTCTACAGCTGTGATACTTTTTGACATCCAACACCTTTTTGTCTTCTGTCACCGTGACCACGCACGCTGTAAAGCACGCGAACGTCGGATAAATTTAAAATTATGCTAAATAATTGTAAATTTATAATAATTCATAACTTTAATCCGGTTAAAAAGTTTTTTCTTTAAATGTGTAAAGGTTATGTCAATAAAATATAATAAAGATGTAGAATTGTTTCTGCATACTTCTTTGGGGATATCTTGTCATCAAACAATATTTTTAAGCATATCTAATAACCCTTTGGAACTACATTTAACTTCTCATAGTTATTAAATCTACAACTGCATAATCAAAAGGAGGTGTAGGCGCCATAGGATCTATTGAAATTAAAATAAGCTTAGAACAATGACTAAGTACCAATCAGTGGGTGGAATATTTAGTCTCGAATTTATTTTAATTATGCGTTATCCACGAATTGTGATTTGCGTAAGTCATTGTATATAGAAGGAAGTAGTTATTTAATAACCAACAAAATTTTGTTAATAATTTATTCAGTGAAAGACGATAGTTGACTATGACTATTATTTATGTGTAGAAAATATATATAATTCTAGAAAATAATAAAAATAAAATGTGATTAAATTACAGCCACTATTTGGTTGTTTTGATAAAAATACGAAAGCTTTAAATCAGTTAAATATATCGAAGTCTCCCACGATAAAGCCCGGCGTGATATTAGCCCTGTGGTAATTATGGGTTGTGTAGTGTGTAGGCACAAACAACACCTACCTATTATTAATATAAACGTGCCTTGTTTACGCAAACTACAATACCTAATTATAAACTCCACGGGGCGCAAATAAAATGAATTCGTTATCGCTAGAAATTTCGTAAGGATTGGCAAATGAGTGGAGTTTCTTCAATTATACCATTTTTAAGCGACGTCAAAAACACCAATATATTATAAAATACAATATTTTATAATATATAATTAATAATATTACTATTTACAAACAAGAAGCCGTACGGCCTCCCGCGGTGGATATACTACCTCTGCGTAAGGTGGTAATTATCAATTGGTTGAAACCGAATTGTCATCAATTTTTAAGTAGATAGCTTGATGGTTCTAGTCATTACATAACATACTCATTCTAGGCATCGTAATCTAAAAATAGTCTAATACTAGCTTCATATCCCGCATATAAAGAAATTAATTATCGCTTCATATATTAAATTTCCTTGGACAAGACCAATTAATAGAAATAAGAAATATTGTTATTTAATACTTTTTAGTGGATTTTGAAGTCGCTTAAATTTTTTAAAGTATTTTATTTTGCACTTGTTCCTCTAATACATTTTAATACGCTAAGTTCGAGTTCAGTAATTCTAAATTTAAATTCTCAATGATCACTTTTAAGCGAGACGTATTATATTACCATTAAGGAAAACAAAAAAAGAAAGGAAGAGGACATAAGTCGTTTCTAGCACGCCTTTGAACTCAGACTTCGTTGGCAAAACGACAAAATCTATTTGCTTTATGAATTAAGAGTCGTATTTCGAGAAGCAGTTTTTGTTAATTTTCAGTACTTAGAAAATTTAAACAAGATTCAAGGTGATGTTTGACATTGACCATCAGGACTGAACTACAATAAATAATACATAGTACAATAAAACAAACTAATTTATCGAAGTCTGTAGGATAATTATATCCTTTGAACTACGCAACGGGTTTTCATCAGACTAGCTTCAAGAGGAAGGTTTACATCTAAATGACATGTATGGACAAAATTGCGACCCGGGGTCAAATCTTTTGAAGTTCTAAATGTTTGTTTTATTATATTTATATTCTTAATACTTCATTTATTGTTACGTTCTGAATAAAAATGAGCCGACGATTAACGATTAACAACCAATTTAAAGTTGTTTCTATTTAACTTGATTATTACAGTTAACCTATCTAAACCAATCAACGTTTGCTAGGTCCAGTTAAAGAGTTTTTCATAACTGGGCAGAGCTTGTTATATAAAAAGAAACAGATATCAATTACAAATCAGTCTCGCTAATCCGTAAAACCAATGACAAACGACTTAAACTAATTGACCGGTATTGTTCTTTTAAAAAAAAATTAATAGCGTCCAACGTCGAAACCAAATTTCGACGCACGACTTTTAATATCCGGTAGCGTCGTTATACTATTTGTATTGCGTGGAATACTCAATATTGAAATCGGATTATCATTATTGATGTTACGTGATAAGCTTACAGTTTAAATAAACATCATTGGATCACAAAACACAGGTGAACCAAATAAAAGAGATAAAAAGAACATAATATGGATCCCATATTTAGTCCAGTATGGCGTAATAGCGGTAATGTGGTCTAAGCTATTAAAATGTTAGTGTTACCAGTCCACATCCGATCTGTTTGTTTACGCCTGTCAAATCGACACAGAGTATTTATAAGCGCGGAAGGTGCGCCAGAGCAATGAACTTTGTGACATAATCGTAAAACCACCATTTTCCTAAGAAATAGGCACGAATACTTCATTATTACAGTAAGGCATTGCCGCGTTTTTATTATAATTTTGTCACGACCATAAACCGGTTCCGAATAAGTATAATAGTATACTTTCAAATTTTACTATTCTAACAATATAAGTGCAGTATTAAGTATTAAGCAACTGGACAACTATAGTTGATAAGATCCGTTGGGTTTGTGGAGAGAAGCAGAAAACAGTATTATGATCAACAAGTGTTTTGACATAGTGTCTTCCAATACATGAATGGCCATTAGACGTAGTTTTAATTCATTAATGTAACACACATATAAACAGCATATACAATATTCTCAACCTACA